TTAAAGAAAGGAAATGCACTTTTTGGATCAAAAACTACTTTTTCTCTTCTCTTCCAAAAGACTTGGAGATTTAGGAGATAGAACATCTTTTTCAATTCTTAAGCTTTTTAAGAGATTCTTGGCCCAAACCTCACTCTTTTTCAAAGCTGATATCAAATCTGTCATCAAATCTCTATTTACAGCAAGGTATGAAGCTCAAACTCGCCATTTTTAATTGATTTTAGAATTTAGGGATTTCTTAAAAAGCCCAAATCTTGGTTTATTAATGGTGGAAATAGCTTAAGGACAACAGATTATATTTCTAGGTTATCTGAAAATCGATTTTAACACCTAGCTTAAGAGGAATTGAGATTTTTGAAATTTGGATTCTACATGCTTTATAAAAATCGAATTTGGAACAGAAAAATTGATGAATTTGATTAAGTCTTGTGTGATTAGTGATTAGTATTAGGTAACCTATAGATTTGACATGGAAATTGCTCATTAAAACCGATTTTTATAAGATTTCTATGTTGAGAACATCAAAAATCCGAATCTGGTCATGAACTACTCGATTTCTTCAATTCAATGTCAATTATGCTTGCTTGTGGTTTTAACTAATCTCTTGATACTAGGATTAGTATAACTGATTGTTAATGTGTTAAAATCAGCATCCATATTCACTCTTTTTCCAAGAATCATCTCGTCTTGTAGGAAAATGGAACAAAGCAGATCCCGAAGAAGCCGTCACACTGATGACAGCTCTGAGGACATTCCCGATGATGTTACTCTTGGAGAGTACATGCTGAACCAAGCCAGACCGAGAAGAAGAAATTACGTGATGAGGTTGCTCCAGCACTCAAGAGAAACACGGCAACTCCCGAGCCACCACAGATCTGATACATTGGGAAAGAGATGAACCCGAGAGTGGACTATGCAAGACGTTTCAAGAAGCTGAACCTCAAACCAACACCTTGCATTGATTATTTGAGATGCTTGGAATTAGAGAATATGTAATCTAGTACATCGATGCACTTAAGCTGAAACCCTACATGGAGCTGAACCTTCCGACTTATCCCGAGCTAGTCCGCGAGTTCTTAGCAACTGTCACACTCCACCACACGAAGAGGAGGAACCCCAGAGCTTCTGACGGCATCTTGTCATTCTCTATCCGCGGACAGACTTACTGCACTTTTTGAAGCTCTTAAGCTTCCATACACTGATGGCATTCACCTTGAAGAAGAACCCGATTTTGACCTATGGAGAGAGATGGGTCATGGCGTCTATGATAGCGGGAGATCCAAGTCAGCCCTTTTTACTCATCCTGCAGTGAGAGTTGTGCACAAACTCTTAGCACACACGATTTTCTCTAGAGCCAACATGGGATGTATTTTGAAGACCGAGCTCATTACACTTCAGATGCCATTTATGGACGACCCACGACTTGCATGCTTTGCCTGGATCATAGCACAGAACATGGTGAATGTGAAGCATGATTTACATGGTTGCGAGGACGCTACTCCAGCTTACGGGAGCGCTATTACAGCGATACTACAGGCTGTAGGATTCGACTTCTCATCTGATGATCCACTTCCCGACGTCTGGTATGACCTACTTTATCTCTCTCGCGATCACATTATCTCTCGTGCCGCTTTCGATCCAGACAGGTTTGGTTACAAGTATTGCACTGGCACCGAGAAGCACCGAGTCTGTTTACCTTCAGCATCAGTCCCGAGATTGTGTAACGGAGGACGTCCCCGATGGACTCCGGAAGCCGATGAGTTTCTGCCATCTGTGCCTCGTCTACCATTCACCATCGGCCAATACATAGTGGCCAAGGCAAAGCGCGATGCAGGTGCGGCCCGTGCTCACTTTCAGCCATCTGTTTCGACATGCCACACTTCATCATCGACATCATCACACACACATTCTGACATGGAGCGCAGAGTTGAGAGACAAGGACGACGCTTTGAGCGCGTTGTCACTTTTCCTACAGGAGCAGCACCAGTTCGAAGCAGACACATCGGAGGATGAGTGATTGATCAGCACTTCACTGTCGTTTGACAGCCATCACGGTTCTATCATCATTTTCTTTTCTTTTATCTTATTTTATTTTCTCTTTTATTCACCATCTTCTCACCAACTTTTTCACACTGGGGACACGTGTGATTTAAGTCTGGGGGAGGATGTCTATCCGTACTAATCATTTTCTTGCTTTTGCTTTCAAAATTTCAAGTACCTTTTAAATTTTAATATGTAACCTATTCGACCTTAAGTATTTTTCAGGAATGTTTGACACAAAACTATGATGATTTAGACCTGCACACTTCTACACTACGCATGATAGCTCATTTGTGGTTAGCACTAGACTAGGCGGTAGCTAGAGTACTTGCACTACAAACTCCAACCAGAGGACTTCTATTCATGGAGATTCTCTCTGACAGGATATACTAGCTCATTTTATTTGACCTTAATATTGATATCTAATTTCTCATCATTGATTTTAGGCAGGCATCGAGATATACATCTAGGACGTCTTTTACCCTCATTTTTACCACTCTTTGTCGTCCTAGATGACCAGTTCATCTTTATCTGGTACCATACCCTTAACCCAAAACCCTTGTTTTCAATCCTCATGCATTCTCTCTTTAGTTTATATCAGCAGATATGTGCAAAAACGTCAGAGAGAAGAGGAGCGACGCAGTTTTCAGTCACTCACAAGGAAGACTGAATGGAGTTGGGAAGGAAGAGTATCAGAAAACCTTATTAAGCTTTACAGGACTGATTTTAATTGGTAATTTCGTGCTCTCTATGATTCTATATCTAAAGGTGTTCCCTTTTCAAAAAAAAAATGAATGAAAAGAGAGAGAGAAACAAAAAGCCTAATGAGTCTTAGATTGTCGAAATTTTTAGAGCAAGAAGTAACCACTATTCGTTTAAAGATTTTCAAAAATCTAAGTCTGGAGGAGTTAGGAGGGAACCTGAGGAAGAAGACCAGGAATCTATGGCAAGAAGAAAGTGACTGAAAACTGTGGATACCAACAGCTTCACTTTCTCTTGCGGTTTTGCATAATATCTTGCATCCTCCAGATCTTCAGGTAACCCACAAACACTTTAAGCCTTACCCCTAGAATAACCCTTTTTACACCTAGCCTAGATTGCCTTGCTTATATTTTCTTTGATGAGAACCACCGAGATTTTTAATGAATGTTAAGAGCTAGTTGACTGGAAGTTAGATCTTAGTGCAATAGATTTCCGCATGACGGATTAACGGACTAGTTATGCTCGTATTGCTAGTGAGAATTTTCTAGGCTATTCCTGATTGATGCATAATGATTGATATTGGTCTATAAGTTTGGTATCTGAGATTTTGTTTAGTTCCTGCGTTTTCAAACCTCTCACCGAGATTTGGCCCTTGTTTTGTTTGAGGACAAACAAAAGACTAAGTCTGGGGGAGTTGATAACACCGGATTTTGACCATTTTTATGGATCACTTTAATGTCTTTTACAGGTGTTTTTACTCCATTTTCAAAGGTTTTCAAAGGATTTCTATGTTTTCGGATTTTAAAAGACTTTTCAGGTAATTTGGGATAAAGAGGCGCAAATTGGAACAAAAAGACTCTTTTGGATAAATGCAGACCGTCAGAACTCTCATGGAGAGACGAAGACCTTCTCACCGTCTGATCACCCTCAAAATTGGACAACGTATAGAAGAATCAACCAGCTTTCAAATGCACTTGGTTTGGAGACATTCCATCGGTTGGATCTCAAGATATTCCATTAGCCCCGGAGCCACTCAAAGACGGCCAGCAAGTCACGCGACCGCGACCACCAGCCCATTCCCCGCGGTCACAAGCATCCCGACAGCGGCCAACCACCTATTTCCCGCGATCACGTTACTCCCGACTGCGGCCGGCCAATTCCGAATGAAATCCCATATTTCTGAAGCCCAAAGTCATTTCTCAGCCTCAATTCCGGAACCCTAGAGACCATGGAGTATTGAAGACTATAAATACTTGTCATTTAGGTCGTTTTTAGACACCACCTTCATACTTTTACAGAAACCCTTTTCCTTTAGCCGTTTTATGCGATTTTTATAGAAGATTGTTCAAGTCTGAGTTCTTCAATAGAGAAGCTTTCTTTCATCTTTTTTCTTTACTGTTTTTGAGATGTCGACCTCAGCCATGTCTGAGTAGATCCCGAGTTAGGCTTAGGGTTTCCAAAACTCTCATAATCGATTAAGACATCTAGGTTTATAGATCTGGGATTTTCACTTTGTTCTCTGTTTGTTCTCGTTCTTATTGCATGTATGCTTGATTGATCACCTAGTATCTGATCTAGATAATTAGTTTGCGAAAGTTTTCATTAAGTATCAGACCTAGAATGAAACAGGCGATTTTTCCGTATGAGTGGAAACCTACCTGCGGCGAGATCGTGAGTATTGACGAGTCTCGTGCAGCTCTTGCGTTCTCTCCCTTCTAGGGCCAGAGTGGAAACCTACTGGTCAGGGTTGCGAGAAACAGTTGGTTATGATCACGACAGTGACGTAGTCATACCGCCGTACTCTAGCTCTAGAATCCTATATTCGATATCCGTTAATCCCAATCTATCATCTCTAGTGTTAAAACCGATTATGATACCTGTAGAGTTCCCGAAAGCTCAGCGTTTTTAGCCATAGTTTACAAACCAATCGATCTTTACTTGTTTATTTAGATCTGCACTTTATTTACTTTAGTTGGATATTTTGCTTGTTTCATTTGCATTCATTCGACTTTTCTACTTGCTTTCTAGGATAGATTTATTTGCTTTCTTTCGCTCTAGTTTAATCCGTGACAAACAATCATCCTCTAAATGCAATCTAGTCTAGACATAAAGTTAGAAACCGTAGAAGAATACCAGGCACACAAATCTCTGTGGATTCGATCCCTAAATACTACAACTAATTAGCTGTGCACTTGCGGCTTTCATTTGTTTTTGTTAAGGGTAAAACTTGTTCCCTCACGTAGTTGACACGCATCACCTTACAATATACACCTCGCAACCCGTCTAGTCTTGTGGCTACAACATATGATGAAGCACTTCCCATAGATATTATTCTGGACAAAGTAACTTTTATACGGGTTGTAATTAAAACCTGGAGAAGTTAGGTGTTGAGACACTCATGAACTTAATCCACACCACATCTTCTCCATCATCACCATTTGTAATTTTCTTCTTTGTCACCCAAATCTTAGTCTCTAGTGTTTCATCGCATCGTTCTAACAACGAGAACCGTAAGGACATGAGTATGGAGAGAATCTTTATTAGTGCACGGTAGAATACAAAAATGTTTCAGTATCTCTTTCGAGCAATCTAGGACTCGGATAAAACACTGACAGGTTTCGAGATTATAAGCAGTCATATACAAATTTCCCATTCAGGGACACATTATTATAAAGAAATAACGATTTTTGTTCTGGACTTTCCTTCGTATTGGCCATCATCAACAAACTTCCATGAATTCGTTGCACAGTCGTAGATGGCAAGTGTCAGGTGGTTGATATTAACAGTATACCCAACGATCTTGTAACTCTTTCCGGGTCCACTACTATCGTAAACCATGCCTAGTAACGAGAATTTAAGTTTGATCCAACCCCATCTAGTCTCCCTCAAACACGGGTTCCAAACGGTGGATACTGAATCCAAAATTGCTATAAAAGAAGAAGAGCCCATCGCAGTTAACCGAGTGTATACGGGGACTATGAAAGGGGGTGGTTAACTCAATGACTTTGATATTTGAGTCAAAGTCATTGAGATTGACGTTAATGTTGGATGTGATCAAGTCTTCATCATATTTTATTATTATTTTATAAGAGTCATATATAATATAATTAGGTAACTGTTTTATGTCAAACTATTCGAAAAGGTGCTAATAGATTTGGTAACTGCAAAACAGTTACAAATGTATGTATGTGTCTTTTCAATGGGGTGTCTTCTAAAGACATGTCCCTTGGTCAATATATGTCTTTACAATGGGGTGTCTTCTAGAGACATGTCCCTTGGTCAAAGTGTGTCATGTAACTATAAATACTGGTTGTTTATCTAATAAAAATGTGTGGTTTTCATTTTACAAAAAATCAAGTATAATACATTGAGTGTTTATTAAGAAAGAGAGAGATAGAAAAACAGAATAAAATATGTGTTGTCTGATCCTTAAACACATTGAGAGTTCAAAGTTCTACATGGTATCAGAGCTATGGAGACAACTATGCAGCAAGTTATTAGGTCTTTTCAATGGGGTGTCTTCTAAAGACATGTCCCTTGGTCAATATATGTCTTTACATTTGGGTGTCTTCTAGAGACATGTCCCTTGGTCAAAGTGTGTCATGTAACTATAAATACTGGTTGTTTATCTAATAAAAATGTGTGGTTTTCATTTTACAAAGAATCAAGTATAATACATTGAGTGTTTATTAAGAAAGAGAGAGATAGAAAAACAGAGTAAAATCTGTGTTGTCCGATCCTTAAACACATTGAGAGTTCAAAGTTCTACATGGTATCAGAGCTATGGAGACAACTATGCAGCAAGTTATTAGGTCTTTTCAATGGGGTGTCTTCTAAAGACATGTCCCTTGGTCAATATATGGCTTTACATTTGGGTGTCTTCTAGAGACATGTCCCTTGGTCAAAGTGTGTCATGTAACTATAAATACTGGTTGTTTATCTAATAAAAATGTGTGGTTTTCATTTTACAAAGAATCAAGTATAATACATTGAGTGTTTATTAAGAAAGAGAGAGATAGAAAAACAGAGTAAAATCTGTGTTGTTCGATCCTTAAACACATTGAGAGTTCAAAGTTCTACATGGTATCAGAGCTATGGAGACAACTATGCAGCAAGTTATTCCAATCTTCAATGGTGAATCATACGGTTTTTGGAAAATCAAAATGGTTACCATCTTGAAGACACGGAAGTTGTGGGAGATTATCGAAAACGGAATCACAGCGAATCCATCTTCTGAAAGCACACCGGCATCAATCAAAGAGAGAGAAGATCAATTGATGAAAGACATGTTGGCTCTCCAAATCCTTCAAAGTGCAGTTTCAGAATCCATATTTCTGAGAATTGCTCCCACATCGACCGCAAGAGAGACTTGGAACGCTTTGAAAATGGAGTTCCAAGGAAGTTCACAAGTAAAGATGATTAATCTTCAGACCTTAATAAGAGAATATGAGAATCTGAAGATGGAAGAAGGTGAAACCATAAATGATTTCACAACTTAGCTGATTAATCTGAGCAATCAACTAAGAGTTCATGGAGAAGAGAAGTCTGATTACCAAGTGGTTCAAAAGATTCTAATCTCCGTACCACAACAATTCGACAGTATCGTTGGGGTACTTGAACAAACAAAAGACCTATCAACTCTTTCTGTCACAGAATTGATAGGAACATTGAAGCGCATGAGAGGCGTTTAAATCTCCGAGAAGATCGTACCAATGAGGGTGCGTTTTATGGAGAAAAGCTTGGTTCAAGAGGAGGAAACAAGCAAAACAAAATTCGCCATGGGAAGACCAACATGTGGTGTGGCGTGTGTAAGAAGAACAATCACAATGAGGTAGATTGTTTCAGAAAGAAGAGTGAAAGCGTTTCACAAAGAGGTGCAAATGGTGAAAGAAGATGTTATGTGTGTGACAAGCCAGGACACATAGCCAGAGATTGCAAACTTAGAAAAGGTGAAAGAGCACATCTAAGTATTGAAGAATCAGAAGATGAAGATGAAGATGAAGATGAGTGTCATATGCTCTTTAGTGCTGTTGAAGAAAAAGAGATCTCAACAATTGGAGAAGAAACGTGGTTGGTAGATAGTGGATGCACCAATCACATGTCTAAAGATGTTAGACACTTCATCACTTTAGATCGCAGCAAGAAAATTATCATAAGGATTGGTAACGGTGGAAAGGTCGTGTCCGAAGGCAAAGGAGATATAAGAGTATCCACAAACAAAGGAGATCATGTCATCAAAGATGTACTTTATGTACCCGAACTAGCAAGAAATTTTCTTAGTATCTCTCAAATGATATCCAATGGATATCGAGTCATCTTTGAAGACAACAAGTGTGTGATTCAAGATTTAAAAAGAAGGAAAATCTTGGACATCAAGATGAAGGACAGAAGTGTTCTAATTCGTTGGAAAAAATCAAGAGAAGAAGCGTATATGGCTTTCGAAGAAAAAGAAGAACAAACAAGTCTTTGGCACAAGCGTTTTGGTCATGTGAATTATGACAAGATGGAGACAATGCAAACGCTAAATATTGTAGAAGATCTTCCAAAGTTTGAAGTAATAAAAGGTATATGTGAAGCTTGTGAGATGGGAAAACAATCAAGGAGGAGTTTTCCAAAGAAATCTCAAAGTAACACAAACAAAACTTTGGAGCTTATTCATTCAGATGTGTGTGGTCCAATGCAAACAGAGTCAATAAATGGGAGCAAGTACTTCCTCACGTTTATTGATGATTTCTCAAAGATGACAAGGGTGTATTTTTTGAAGAACAAGAGTGAAGTGATCACAAAATTCAAGATATTCAAGCCTTATGTGGAGAACCAATCGGAGAATCGGATCAAAAGGCTTAGAACAGAGGGAGGTGGTGGATTTCTATCAAGAGAATTCATCAAATTATGTCAAGAGAGTGGCATACATCATGAGACAACAACTCCCTAGTCTCCACAACAAAACGGTGTTGCGGAAAGAGAAACAGAACACTTGTAGAGATGGCAAGATCAATGATCGAAGAGAAGAACTTATCTAACAATTTTTAGGCTGAAGCTATTGCAACATCAACATACTTGCAAAACAGATTGCCATCTAAGTCATTGGAGAAGGAGTTACACCAATTGAGATATGGAGCGGAAGAAACCAAGTGTTGATCACTTGAAAGTTTTTGGGTGAGTATGTTACATACACATACCGGATGAGAAGAGAAGAAAGCTTGACACTAAAGCCAAACAAGGGATATTTATAGGCTACAGCAACGAATCAAAAGTATATAGAGCGTTTTTGCTAAATGAAGAAAAGATCGAAGTGTCAAAAGATGTGACATCCGATGAGAAGAAAACATGGAGCCATGATGAAAAAGGAGAAAAAAAAGCGATTCTATCACAAGTCAAGATCAACTTACAAGAACAAGGAGGAGGAAATGATCTAAACGCTCAAATAGATCAAGTAAGTAACGCATTCAATCAACTTTAAGTTTCAAATAGAGGAGTTCAAAACTCAAATGAAGAAGGAGAAGAATATGTTGGTCCAAGAGATCTCCGATCAATCAATGATCTTATGGACCAAACAAATGAAGTTGAAGGAGAGGCACTTATACATGAGATGTGTCTCATGATGGCTGAAGAACCACAAGCCTTGCAAGAAGCAATGAAAGATGAAAAGTGGATAGAAGCCATGAGAGAAGACTTGCGGATGATAGAGAAGAACAAAACCAAGTTGTGGCAGGACCAAAAGACAAAAATGTGATTAGTGTCAAATGCATCTTTCGTTTGAAGACTGATGCAAGTGTAAAAGCAATCAAACACAAAGCAAGATTGGTGGCCAGACGATCCACACAAGAATATGGTGTGGATTACTTGAAACTTTCAAGATATGATACAATAAGAACCATAATGGCGATTGCGGCTCAACAAGGATGGAAACTCTTTTAAATGGATGTGAAGTCAGCGTTCTTAAAATTCACAAAGCGCTATACGGTTTAAAGCAAGCACCTAGAGTATGGTATGGACGCATTGATGGATACTTTATCAAGAATGGCTTTGAGAGAAGCATCAATGATGCATCGCTTTATGTGAAGAAGACCTCAAAGGAGATATTGGTGGTTAGTCTATATGTTGATGACATCATAGTCACGGGAAGCAACATAAAAGAGATTAAACAATTCAATGAGGAAATGAAGAATGAGTTTAAAATGACAGACTTAGGAGAACTAAGTTACTTTCTTGGCATGGAAGTGAACCAAAATGAAGAAGGCATTTTCTTATCACAAGAAAACTATGCAAAGAAGCTTTTGAAGAAATTTGGAATGCAAGACTGCAAGAGTTTGTCAACACCATTAACTCCTCACGGCAAGAAGAAGGAAGTCCTAGATGAGAAACTTGAAGACGTTACAAAGTATAGAAGCATGATTGGAGGACTATTGTATCTTTGTGCTTCATAACCAGATATCATGTATGCAAGTTCTTACTTGTCTCGATACATGGCATCTCCAACAATGCAACATCTTCATGAAGCCAAACGAGTCCTTAGATACGTTAAAGGGACTTTGACATATGGGATTCAATTCAAACAAGTAGAAGAACCAGAGTTGGTGGGATTTTCTGATAGTGATTGGGGTGGTTCAGTTGAAGACAAGAAGAGTACAAGCGGCTATGTCTTCTCAATTGGATCGGGTGCATGCTGTTGGAATTCAAGCAAGCAAAAAACGGTTGCTCAATCAACAGCTGAGGCAGAATACATTGCGATTTGCTCCACAGCAAATCAAGCAATATGGTTACGAAGACTGGTGAATGAGATCGGATTCAAGACTGAAAAAAGTATAAGGATCCTATGTGATAACAAATCTGTGATTGCTATAGGAAAGAATCCGGTTCAACATCGTCGAAAAAAACACATTAACATCAAGTATCATTTCGTAAGAGAGGCTGAACAAGAAGGAAAGATTAAGCTTGAACATTGTCCAGGAGAATTTCAAGTCCCGAATATCTTAACCAAACCTTTAAACACATTAAGGTTTGAGTCTCTACGAGAAGAACTAGGTGTAGTGATGAAGCCATGATCAAGGAGGAGTGTTTGATGTGATCAGGTCTTCATCATATTTTATTATTATTTTATAAGAGTCATATATTATATAATTAGGTAACTGTTTTATGTCAAATTATTCGAAAATGTGCGAATAGATTTGGTAACTGCAAAACAGTTACAAATGTATATATGTGTCTTTTCAATGGGGTGTCTTCTAAAAACATGTCCCTTGGTCAATATGTGTCTTTACAATGGGGTGTCTTCTAGAGATATGTCCCTTGGTCAAAGTGTGTCATACTGTCATGTAACTATAAATACTGGTTGTTTATCTAATAAAAATGTGTGGTATTCATTTTACAAAGAATCAAGTAAAATACATTGAGTATTTATAGAAAGAGAGATAGAAAAACAGAATAAAATCTGTGTTGTCCGATCCTTAAACACATTGAAAGTTCAAAGTTTTACAGTTAATCGAATGAAACTTGGAATCAGTCTGTAACATGAATTCTGGACGAGCTCTTCTGCAAGCAAAGTGGTTGTTGACAAATCTCTTCTCCTTGAAAATAGGGTTCCATTCTCTACAAACGGCTCTGAATCAAGCGAGAGATAGAGGTGATGAAACCCTAATGAGTATCTCTTCCTGTAACTCTGAGGGAAGCTTCCTCGCCACCCTTTGTAACAAATTTAAAGGAAGAGAAGAAAAATAATGCAAAGTAAGAATAATAGCTTTTTCCAAATTTTGAAAAACGCTTATCGTTGAAGCGAACAAGGGACTCATTAGGTTTTTCTTCTTATCTTAGTAACGAACTTAAAGAAAAATAAATAATTTGCCTTTTCGAGTAAATTAATTGTTCAGAACATATTTCCCCTTGTTGATTTTATGTTTCAACCAAGCATTCTTGTCAAAAATCTGTTTCTTGTATAAAAGAAAATTATTTGAAGTAAGTAACTCACCTACTCGTAACATGTGTCAGGTTAAACAATCAGGTTTTGACATGTGTTTAATTAATTTTAATTATATTTTAACAAATCTTATTAAATAAAAAAAATTATAATTAATTATTTCATAATCCTAAAAAAAATAAAGAGTAAATATATTATGTTTTGATTAAAGAAAACAAAAAGAATAAAGAATAAAAGCCACAGTTTGTAAAAAAAAAAACTATTTTTCAGTTTAGCATAAAGAACATTAAACAATATATTACAAATTCACAACCAAAAAATATTTTGCTAATCTTTTTAGTTCATAAGCGATATGTATTTTTTTTTCTTTCATGTCAGTCATGCTAAGTTAATGCATAAAATCGTTATTATTACATTAGTATAGTTATGTAAAATAGTCATGATTCAATTATTGTGATCTCATTATTTTGTTTTTATATAATATTATGATTGTTGATAATTTTATTTTTAAATTTATGTATTACATATTTTCACGGGTAATCTCAATTTTTATGGATTATAAAATATTTAATTATAAACTGGTATATATGCAGTTACTTATCTAGGTATAAAAGAGAAGAAAATAATATATACATATATATATAGAGGTATTAAAAAAAATAGTATGGATTTATGTACGTAGCATGGAGCAATTAAATCCCTAGTGAAGGTATAAAAGAACAAAATAACATGAGTAAGATGTGGTTCGTTAGAGTATAATTTGAGGTGCTAATTGAACTAAGTTAAAATGTATTTTTTTGAACTATTTCAAATAAGTTAAAATTAAATTAATGAGATCATAAGTCATAACTATGATACAACCACTAAATTGGCTAAGAGAGAATAATATATTATAGGTGAGAAGGCCAGCAAATTCCTTCTATCTGGCAAGAAAACGGCGCCGGAAGTGCTATGTGTGACGGCAGCTTTTCTCCTGGCATCATCACCGACACATCAGACGTAGTTACCGGAACCTGCCATGTTTCGTTACTTGCTTATATTTATGTTAAGAGAAAAAAGGAGAAAGAAAAATAACAAAAACAAATAAATCGTTGGAAAAGCATTAAAATAAGATTTAACGACATTTTCGATAAAGATTTCTAGTAATCAAAATCAACGAAAATTTTAACAAAAACATAAAATTTTAAATCAGTTAACGAATATTTCAGAAATTTGAAGGCTTTTTTGTTATTATTAAATTTTGAAGTTTTTCTTTTTTTTTTACAGACTGGGTTCGCTGTAGACATTATCTCTTCCTTTTTTCTTACATTTAGTGAAACTTCAAACAGTCGTGCTTTTCCAGAAGGACAAAAGAAAACCCAAAATTAATATGTTTATTTTCAAAATCCTAACTAAATTCAAGTAATATCATACCACAAATTGTAGTTAAAAATTTAAAATAGCTTTTTGTTGCCCTTCAGTTTCATGGGTTTCTGCTTTATAAAAAGACTAAAATTCTTTGATGTAAAGAAAGCTCTTTAAATAACAAAAATGAGAAAAAAGAAAGAATACGACACAAAGAATAATAGTGATTTTTTATCAAAAAAAAAGGGAGAGTAGTAGTGATGTTAAAAAATTGGTGGTGGTGTTTACCTTAGAAGCGTGTTCAGCAAGTTTCTGGCATTGAGCAGACCCATCGAGAGAAGAGGATTGATCAGGCCTGAAGAGATGCTCGAATATTGCCATTATGAGGAACATTGATATCAATATCGCCGTCGCAACAAACCCAAACGAGATCGCATTCATCGATGACCCTGAACCATCCTTAGTTGTGTATATGCTCCATGTTCTTACTGATCTTTCCGAATCCGACCTTGAATCGTTCATCTCCAAATCTCAGCGTTGCTGTTATGTAAGTGGACACAGAATCAGAGGTCAAGCCTGAATTAAACATGAAATTCAAAGATTAGATATTTTCACTTAATATTGTAGTTTTCTTTCTTTTCTTTTTTTCTTTCAAATGTGTAGAACAGAAGAGATAGAAGAAAACACAGAACATACTCTGTAAAAGCTGATAATATGGTTTCATGTGTGTACGTTATATATGAAACTATATATAAAGTATAAATAGAAGAAAATAAAATAAAATAAAAGAATAGAGAAAAAATGAACATTTAGCATGAGTGTGTGTGTGCGCGCGTGGGATAATAGTATTTTTTTTTTTAACCTGGGATATCCTAAGCCTATGGAGGGACACAGACTAATCCCCAAGAGGAGGTGCAGCCCATGGATAGACTCTCAATGGGTCGAAAAAGCAAAGGCTCATATCCATGTTTGATATCCGAAACAAATGTGTGTTAGTTTCACATAGCAGAAGGATTGAACCCGAAACGTGGTAGCGTCCAAAGCCCGTCCCCTGCCACTTGACCACAAGCGCTCGGACAATAGTACCTAAGGGTTACGAGGAGACAATCTTGGTTCCTATATCTCCTTCATTGTCTTCTTAAAGTGATAACTTCACACTTCTCCTTGACTTTCTTTTATATTTAGCTTCTGTTTACCATTGTCTTTTAATTACTTTATTTTTTCATTTCAGAAGCCTATTACCTACCAAGTCTAGAAAATTACATACAGTAAAAACTCTATAAATTAATAATGTTGGGATTTTAGTATTTTATTAATTTATAAAGTTATTAATTTATAAATTTTTAATAAAAAATATTTCTTATTTTTTATTAATTTTAAAAGAGTTTTTTAAAAGATTTTACTTTTTAAAACATTCTTTCTAAAATTAAAAATGAGTTACAGAGTTACAAGAAATTTTAAATTTGAAATGAATAAATTTTTTTCACTAAACTCATATTTTAGTAGATTATCTTACTTATATATTTATATTAAATTTTATTTATGATAATTATTAATTTATAGTATTAATGGGACTATATATTTACATAGGAATTTTGTTAAAATTATTATCTTATTATCTTATCGATTTGTATTAAATTTTGAACCGATCCAACTTGGGACCAGAAAATTTTATTAATTTATAGAGTTTCTACTGTATTTGTTTCCTTTTTCCTTCTGAAATTGTAAACAATCTTTATCACTCCTAGCCCTTTTCGTTAATCAAGTATTCTTCGATTCTTGATCAAACTATCTATCGATTTTGGAATTATCAAGGAGGAAAATTGATGCGATATGTGTGAATCACTAGGAAGCCTCCTTAAAACTTAGTTGAGCAGCATATATGGACCTAGAAAGTGATCACTGAATAATTTATGCCAAGCTAATATTAATGAAATACACGAGATGAACCAATTAATTAAGAACAATTTTTTGGGTTCACCCTTAGGGGTGAACTCTTTTATTCACCCCGTTCCTTTTTAACCAATCAAAATAAACCAATTCTTTTATTTAAATAAAAAACAATTAATTACTAACTCAATTAAATGATTATGGGACCCATAATTTTAAGAGGAAAATTTTGTGATACCACGATGAATACACGATTTGGGATTTTTTTTTTGTTTAGTAAGTTTTATTTTAAATTAATATTTTACTTCTTTTTTTAACCAATCAAAATAAGTCAATCTCTTTTCTTCAATAAAAAATAAAATAAATGTTAATCCTCAAATAAATAAAAAAACTGAATGTCTAAATCTCAAATAAAAAAATAAACTGAATGTCTAAATCTCAAATAAAAAATAAATTTAATTTTAATGCTTTTTTAGTTTCTCCTTTTTGCTTCTTCTCCTTTTTTGTTTTTCATTGTCTCTGATATTTCTTGTTTTTTATGATGAACCATCATAACTCTTGTCAAATTCTTAACAAATATAAAATTTTAAATTATTAAAAAATAACAGATTACTAAAAATATAAATATTTAAAATGACACTAAAAAATAATAATAAACAATAATGTATTTACCTTGAATAATTGTGATAAAAATTGATCATTTTGTAAGTTCGAACTAGTGGTAGCACCAGATAACTGGGTATCGAGAGTAGTAGTTGTATCCTAAATATTTATCAAATTTGTCTAATATTTAATATATAGTTATATTTAGAAAAAACGATGATAAAAAATAATAAATCTAATGAAATATTTACTTCGAGCACTTGTGAGAAATATGGTCCACTTTGTGAAGTCGAACTGGTGTTAGCACCAGATAATTGGGTATCGAGAGTACGAGTTCTAAAACATTTATCAAAATTATCCAATAATTACTATAATATATATATATAATTTTTTAGAAAAAGTTATCATTTCAGGTACTGAGAACTAATGAGATTTCAACTTTAAGTAAAAAACAAACATATTAGTCATATTTTAGAATAATGTATTTACATATACTTGCATAAATTTATATCATTATTATTTATGTTTTTGTTGGGACCATAAATTTACATAAGGGTTTCAAAAAACATATTATCTTATTATCTTATCGAATTTGATAGATTTTTACATTGACCCGACTTGGGACCAGCAAAATTTATTAATTTATAGTGATTATTAATTTATCGAGTATTAATTTATAGAGGTTTTACTGTATATATATATATATATTATAGTAATTATTGGATAATTTTGATAAATGTTTTAGGACACAACTCGTACTCTCGATACCCAATTATCTGGTGTGCTAACACCAGTTCGACTTCATAAAGTGGACCATATTTCTCACAAGTGCTCGAAGTAAATATTTCATTATATTTATTATTTTTTATCGTCGTTTTTTCTAAATATAACTATATATTAATTATTAGACAAATTTGATAAATATTTAGGATACAACTACTACTCTCGATACACAGTTATCTGGTGCTACCACTAGTTCGAACTTACAAAATGGTCAATTTTTATCACAATTATTCAAGGTAAATACATTATTGTTTATTACTGTTTTTAGTGTCATTTTAAATATTTATATTTTTAGTAATCTGTTATTTTTTTATAATTTAAAACTTTATTTTTGTTAGGAATTTGACAAGAGTTATGATGGTTCATCATAAAAAAAAGAAATATCAGAGACAATGAAAAACAAAAAAGAGAAGAAGCAAAAAGGAGAAACTAAAAAATCATTAAAATTAAATTTATTTTTTATTTGAGATTTAGACATTCAGTTTATTTTTTTATTTGAGATTTAGACATTCAGTTTTTTTTTTATTTGAGGATTAATATTTATTTTATTTTCCATTGAAGAAAAGAGATTGATTTATTTTGATTGGTTAAAAAAAGAAGTAAAATATTAATTTAAAATAAAACTTACCAATGTTAAAAAAATCGCTAGACGGTGGCTAGACGAGTGATAGGAGACTAGCGCCTAGGCGGATTAGTCGGAGACTAGGCGGAGCCTAGGCGTTAGCAAAATTTTTGTTAATTTTTATAAATTTTCTATCTATATATCATATTTTAAAAAAAGTTTTAATTTTTTTCTTAAAAATTATTTTATCAAAATTTATGTTTGAATAAAAAAGTAAGAAAAATTAATAAATAAAATTATAGAATAAAGTTCAACAAAGAAATCAAACTAAAAATCATCAAATTCTCCAAACTAAAATAATTTTTAATCTAAAAAATTTAAAAATGTAAAGCAAAGAGAATATCTAACTTATTCTTCAAACACATCCATATCCACCACCTGCTCATTTTCAGACTCAAATTCAAAATCAATAGCTATATCATTTTCATCGTCGGAATCAATATTTCCTCTAGGCTCATCATTAAAATTGAAAGTTGAAACTTGAAACAGAGCACAAACAAAGTAAACAAAGATGAAAAAGCAAATTAAGAGAATACAATATAGTTATATAATATACACAGATAGATAAAGAGAAGATCAAACTCATAGAGTTCAGCAATAGAGAATAATTATCGCCTCTTTTAGTTTATAAAGGTGAAGTTGTGGAGAGGAACGAAGATGATTATATGAAGTTATTAACCCTAATCCATGTTTCAAATCTTTTTTTTTCTTTTCTGTAAACCGATATTGGTTTACTATCTAAAACCGTAAAAATTGACTGAAAAAGAGATAAAAATAATTAGTCTGATTTAGCCGATTTTACCGATTTGGTCCAATTTTTCCGATTTTCTCCGACTTGGTCCGATTTTTACTAAACCGAATTTGCTTCACTGATTTATGAAAATCAGGTCGGTTAACTCCGACTAGCCGCCTAGGCGGCCGCCTAGTCGCCGACTAGGCCGATTTTTTGAACACTGAAACTTACTAAACAAAAAAAAAATCCCAAATCATGTATCCATCGTGGTATCACAAAATTTTCCTCTTAAAATCATGGGTCCCACAATCATTTAATTGAGTTAGTAATTAATTGTTTTTTATTTAAATAAAAGTTGGTTTATTTTGATTGGTTAAAAGGGAAGGGGGTGAATAAAAGGGTTCACCCCCCAAGAATTGTTCTTATTTATTATGTACACAATTGCAACCAAAACCTCGAAGTTACCATTGTAGAAATGAACAGAAAATGAAATATAGAATTCAGTCTTGATTGGTATTAGGAATTAGCAATTCAACAATATTGAATGGTTTAACATAAAAATATATATATTGAATGTCAAAAACATTGACAAGACTTGTTTGTTGATGATATTATTTTTCTTTTAGTTGAATGTAAAATTTATTCAAACCAAAAAAATCTATTTTACAACAGTTGTCACTTTTTTTGCAGAAAATTATAAGAGAGTTAATTTCTAGAAGATAATTTTTTTTAGAGCAAATACTCTCATCAGAGCTTGGTCGATGTTCTGAAATGCGTGTGGCAAATCATAACTTAGTCCTTCATCGTATGATCTTCTTGATTTCTGATTGAATAAAAACGAAGGATGATGTTCTTGTCTGATGAGTCGAGATGGTAGAAGATATCATTCTC